TCGAAAAAAGTGCCACATTTTTTCGTTTTTCTGAGGAATATGGATGATTTTTGTGACGGGGGTGATTTTCCGCGCGTTTTCGTAGCATTTTCTCGGTCAGGAGTGCGATTTTTACCACAAAAACGCAATTTTTCAGTCTGACGACGTCTGAACTGTTTGACGTTTGCTGTCAAGTGACAGGAAACTAACCAAACGCCTACTAGGAGCCTTTTTGAAGAAATTTCAGCCTGGAAATACTTAGACGAATGGAACGCACAATGAAGCAGCTTTCTGGTGAGATTCGTTTCAATAAATCGATATGAAAAGGACGTTTTTAGTGTCGATTTGGCATTTTCTAAGTAAATTGCGTTTATTTATTAGAATCTCAGTAGAGCCACACCACAAATAGCCCCATTTGACACATTTCCAGCTCCCTGATGAAGTTCTTTTCAATTTAAATCAGCTTCCCATGTGGTCTGTAACGGTTTTTCGGACAAACCAGCCGCAAGTTTGGCAAAGCTGAACAAATGCGTTCGAGACACAACTCACGCATCCATTCGATAAGCTGCAAATTACCGGTTCAAAAACGTGAGCACGTGGCTGATTGCAAGTTTACGTTCTATTTGGAAATATTGCGCAAAATTGCCTGGATTCGTGCAAATTATGTAGTTTGTGTGTGAGTTTACGGGGAAATTGTCATTGATCCTTTTAAATAAACACAAACTCACAAATTGAATGCCAACTGCTGATAAGAAAAATGTTTCTGTGTACTTTTATGGGTTTACTACAATTAATCAGTGCAAACTTATTATTAGATAGTCTTGATCTCTTTAAAGTTAAGCTGATGGGATCAATTAAAATCTGGAATAATTGTTTGAGGTCAGATAAATACCTAGTTAAAAACAAATTTGCACGTACTTTCCTGACTGTGTTTCAATTATATAAATTTCATTATATAAATGAAAACATTTATATATTTTTTTTTTTTACTACCTGTTATTTTAGTGAAACTGATGATGGTGGAAAACACCGAAACGTTTTTTTAATTGATAAATAGACAATAAATGACTGAAGA